TACTGCACCTCAGCTGCTCCAGAGCAAGTCTCCATGTGTCTGCAATTACCCCAGCATAAGGTAAAGCTGCGCCAAGGTGACACAGGCCTGTTTCATTGAAGGGTTTGGTCCCCGCTGGGCCCATCTACATGTTCATCAATGCACTGTAATAACGACGCATTAAGTTTAGTACCTGTAATGACAGGTACTAACTAAATGCGCTATAATCGGCACTACTGTGCATTAGCGCAGATGAACGGTTTCTTTGTGACACTACAGGCATTAGACCAAACCAGCTGCACATTAGCTCATTAGCATGGGCTTTGCCTGCCATGCTAATGCGCAGTAGAATTAGTCTTCAGTGCATTAAATGTCTTGTGTAGACGCGCCCATAGTGGAGTAACACTGAGCATGGCGATCGTTACCTCAGGGCAGTCCTTCACTCCCTGCAAGCACAGTAAGTTATTGCTGCATGGGGTAGCAAAAAGAGGAAGATCCCAGGCCCTGGCAGTAGTACAGCAGTGCTCCCGAGTATAGTAACATTTCTGGGGAGCCTTGGGGTGTGAGTTGCCCAGGCTCTGGTCAGCCCACTACACAGTCCAAGCGGGGAGGATGAGTGCCGCAGAAGTGGCACATGAAGGCCAAGGAAGTTTCAGGGGCAAAATCAAGCCCGTGAGGATGATCTGAGTCCAGAATCTGGCTTGCTGGTTTCACAACCGGGGCCGGTTGCAAAGCTCACTGAGGTCAGGGAACCTTTCCTATTCAGAGCAGGCCGATAGGAGCAAACGCAGGTCTCGTTACAGCACATCGCAGTCACTCAGGGAAGCCGTGACAGCTGTAGGACTAGAGCTTGGCGCGTACAAAGCTATTCATTGCTCTCTGAAATTCGCAGCCCTGGGCTTTGGCATCCACAGCCAACGTCGTTTGGCAGGTTGCTCAGTTCTGATGCCAGCAGGCAGTGCTGTGGTCACGTCCAGACACGGGCGGCCCAGCGTGAGCATTACCAAGTGAGTACAAGGCTGCTTTGGGCTACACATGGACTGCGCTCATCAATCCGTCCACAGGCCAGGAACGACTCCTGAGTCTACGAATTCTCCACTAGCGACAGAGCACGACTGGGAGTCGGAGGGCAGGGAGAGGCAGGATGCTGCCATGCAGCACCAACGACCAATGAAACAAGTCCTGTTAATGGTGTAAAGGCTGTCAGACAAGCTAAAAAATGAAGCCAGGATCATCAACACGGAAAGCACAAGCCCAAGCAAAAAAAAGCAGCTCCTTCTCCAAGCAGCAGTAGTAGATCATTATTTTGTTTTATACAGATTGGCCACTGGAGGGGAGCAATGCTCTAATTTGTGTTATACCAGCAGGCAGATGACTAATTTACCAGCCAGTCCCTCCTGTGTTACCCAGCTACAGCAAAAAGGAAAGCTAAGAGTTCATTAGCACTCTTAATTAGAGTGGCAGGGCCTGGGGTCTAGTTGCAATGAAGCTTTTTAGTTACTGAAGCTCTTGATGTCGGCATGTTTTCTTCAGGTCTGCCTTCAACGTGTTCTTGTAGCGTTTCTTTTGTCCACCGTGAGATCTCAGGCCGTTACTGAGCTGGGAGCAGAGAACTTGTTTTGGGAACTGAGTGTCGGGCATCCGCATACAACATCCGCTCCGGCAAAGTTGGTGCTTGAAGATCACCAATTCAGTCCTGGTAACATTGGCGTCAGCAAGGATGCTGGCATTTGTGTGGCAATCATCCCATATGATGTGGAGGATTTTCTTGAGGCATCATTGGAGTCTCAGCAGGCTCCTGAGATGATCGTAAGGCACCCACCTTTTATGTCCGTAGAGGAGGGTGGGGATGATGTCTGCATTGAAGACCTGGCTCTTGGTGTCTTTCCAGGGATTGCAATGAATAAAGACATGCAGAAGCAATTTCCCAAAGGAGGCACTTGCACACCAGATCCTGTCCTGTGCACACCAGATCTCCTCCTCAATGTTCACTCTCTGAGAGAGGTGGCTACCAAGGTTGAGGAAATGCTCAGCTACTTCCAGGAACAAATGAGTGTGTAATTAAATGCCCAGAGTAGATGGTTCTGCATAGAAGGGGCTCAGAGGGCAAAGCTGTTAGGGGTAATTTAGCCAGTCTAATGCCATGGCCTGGCAGAAAGAGGGGCCAAGCTTGCTCCGAAGCTTACTGAAGGGACCTCGGGACTGGGATTTCTTTCCTAACACCCCTTCCCTCAGTGCAACAGCATCAGATCCCAAAACTACAGCTGAGGCCAATCTGCAGAGCTGCCAGGGAAGCATTTGCTCCAGGTCAGATGTGGCCAGCCTCATGGAGGACAACCAGCTCTGCACAGACTGCTGAACTCCTGCAAGTGCATGGCAGTGGCCCAGAGACAGCATGGCTTTAGCCCCATGCGAGCAGCCTTAGGTGACATTGTGGAGAGCAGCTACCTCTTTGCTCCCCGCCCCAACCAGCTCCATAGCTCCCAGCATCCAGCAGCTCCCTGTGGATCCCAGGCAGCAGGGAACTGCACCCCAAAAGCAGCATTCACCTCTTTCATGCCTAAAAGGAGAGTCCCCCTGGAGTGTGGTCTCCTCCCCATATGGCAGAGGAACAAGATCTGATTATTTGCCTAGTAGCGACCATGTGCTCGGCCCTGTACGAAACACCGCAGATGCACGGTCCCTGGAGCTCCCAAGGACAGTCCAGGAAAAGGACGTGCCTCCAATGCAGCAACTGCAGAGAAACATGGATTTAACTGAACTCACTTTAAACAAGCCCTCTCAAGTCCTGGTGCCTAGTGCAGACTCAGAGCTAAGCAGAGGCCAAAAAATGCATCCAGTGGGTGAGAAAATTAACCCTTGGCTAGCCAGTTACTACTACTCACACTGCTTAGTTTTGAGGGAGTTTGGGTATATAGTCACAGCTGGGTAGACGCCACCTGAGCAAGAGGCACAGTACATGCTAGCTGTCTCTAAGGCTCTTAGAGCCCTGAAGGGCCCACACCACAAGACCAAGAGCCATGCAGAGGCTCAAGCCCTGTGACGCTTACTTCATTCAAAATGCCAGAGGGGAATTCATGCAGAGATCGCAGAAATCATCTGCAGCTGCTCAAGACGTTGCCTCTCTTTCAGCTCAAACCCACTGATTTCTGCAATGGGAATTATGAGGAGAGTCACCCTCACTAGCAAAGAAATTGAGGCAGCAATTCCTTTCCTTTCCCGACTTCTAAGACCGGCAAAACCAGCACAACGCTCGACTCTAAAATTAACATAGCGCTCACTGATGCATGAACGTGGCGCTGTAATATGAGAAGCCCATGAAATCCAGACTCTCCCACATGGAAATATGAGCGTTGAAAGAAGGGAGGCTGTGGAAGGGGCCCTCTAGCATCAGCCCCAGATGTTAACATCTGGATAGCTTTAGCAGACCTTGCTCTGCAAGAATTCGCCAGCGTTGCATCATGCACACTCCTTGAATTTTCCAGAAACCCGTCCTGTTCCCTCACTGCCGGCCAGAAATCTTGCACGTGCGTGTGTGTGTGTGTGTGTGTGTGTGTGTGTGTGTACACCATACAGTTTTCTCTTCTGTTTTTTTTAAAACAGAAAGGACTAATTAGGCTTAAACCTGTGTGTGACTTGTGTTATTTTCATGAGTATTAAAAGTGCCATAAAGTAGCCTAATTCTAAGAATAAAAAAAGGAAGTTTTTTTGCTAGAGTTCCTGGAATTAGAAATAGCATCCTGAAATGCACATTACAGGAGGCCAAAAGAAAGAAATTTATGAGCAGGCCTGCATACACTTATGCAAATTACGTTGAAAATAGAAGATTATTATGCACGACCCCATAAGATTGACCTCTTCTGCCTTGTCTTCCCTATCCTGTCTCACTCCTGTCTTTCCCATGCCTGGTTCCTTGTCCAACATGCATTCTCCTTGCCTACCCAATCCCAGTTTCTGCTCAGGCTTTTCATTCTGGTCCTAGCCTGACTTCATCTGATCTCTCTCTCTGGCCTCTACCTGCCCTGGCCACCAGCCCTACCCACATCACCATCCCCTCCTTGGTTGTTTCCAGCCCCAGTCTTCCACCCCAAACTCCTCATCCCGTCTTAGTGTGTGCTTTCCCAGCTCTGTCCCATTCTCTTTGCCTAGCCAGTCTCAATTGCCCCCTTGTCTCCTCCTCCAGTTCTCCTGTCTGCATCTGAATCAGGCAGCTTGCTCCCCCATGCAACCCGGGCATCCGCTGCAGGGGAGGTGGAGGGCGGCTATCAAGAGCGCAGGAGAATCGGTCTCCCTGCGTTCAGGGCTGGAGCCCAGGTCTGGCCTGAAGCAGGCCTCGTGTGGAGCATGCTCCCTACGGACAAAATTGTCAAAATGTTAAGCGAAGCGTTAGCAAGTCCCTGCTGAGCCTAGTTTGGCTGTATTTTGGCATGCTTCCCCAAAGACAGCAAAAGGTACCGACATTAAAGGCCTCTTCCCTCCCTAGTTTCAAGCCCTGGCAGCAAAGCAGGGCAGGGCGCCAGAGCATCTCAAAGGAAAAGCCCGCAGAATTTTTTCACATGGACAAACCAATGTGTGCCTCTCTAACCTCGTGCTGGGAAAGAGAGTCATACCCATCACATGTACAAGCGCCCATAGAGAAGTCAGGCTGGAAGGGACCTCCAGAGGTCATCTTGTCCAAACCCCTGCCCGAGACAGGATCAGCCCTATCCAAACCATTGGGGCAGAACCGTTTGGGGATAAACATTACAGCAAAAAACAATTCAGCATCTAAATCAAGCTACCTGATCTACCAAGAAGCAGATACAATTTGCTCAGAGCTCATGCAGCCCCGTCTCTGGCACCTGAGCTGGCTCCGGGCAGAGGCACCTCCGCACTATTATTCAGTGTAGACACTTATTTCCTCAGCTCCATCTTGGAAACTGAGAGCAAGACTAGAGAGCAAGACACGTCTAGTTATATTGCAAGAATATACCCAAGAATAAAATAACTGCCAGTCGATCCCGATTTTTTTTTTATGGGCTAGTTCTGATTTTCACAGATATGCCCTTTGTAATGTTTTGGGCATTACAAAGGGCCCAGGTTAGATCAATACATGGAAACATCATAAACACACATTGAGGCACCATGAGGACCCTGTGATGAGACAGGACAGTTGGAGAGGAAGATGTAAGATTTTTTTCTGGTCCTGTAAACCAAAAATAGCGGGCTTGCTCAGCTGGGACTGGACACCGGGTGGACTGGGAGCCAATAATAATGGCTATCAAGGGACCTGGGAAAAGATGAGAGCTGTTTCCCTGGTCTAGCAGCCTGAGCCTTTTGCTGTTGTCGTGTGAGAGCAGAACAGATGTCGAGGCCTTAGGGTTAATAAAACCCTTTCTCCGTATCCCTTTGCTTACATATCTGCAGCATGTGGGCAGTGAGAAATGTCCGCTGTTGCTGCTCCCACTGCCTGCTTGCCAAGGGCCGGGGGGGGAGTTTGTGAGCCCTGCATTTCCAGCCGGGGTACAGTGAGGCAGGCGTCGAGCAGAGTAAAGTCTTGCCTAAAGTGATTTGGGATACAAGAGGCTGGGGAAAAAAACAAAAAACGGGAACTATTATTAAAAAGTGCAGCTGCTAGGCAGGAAATGCCAGCACGAGTGCCTTTTTCATTGCGGTCTAGATTCCCTTTGCTGTCCCGATTCAGAGCTCACCCCCGCCTTGATGCTGAATGAGGCACGAGCAATGATTTTGCAACCTCCCACCCTTTGCCCCCATCCCTGACAACACCCGGCCAGTATAATCCCCCTCTCTAGTGACCGGCAAAGCAGCTTCATGACCATTAATGGGCCCTACGCCTCACTCTCTTTCTGGATGACACAGACAGTTTCTGAGTTCACATATGGTAGTATGCATGTACACACACACACACTCTTCCCTCGCTGCTCGGAGGAAGCCTGAGGTGAAAGCACAAGATTGGCTGGTGCTGGATTACCCTCGGGGACAAAAGCCAGCAGCTCTCCCCCCCTTACATGCACGGGTTGCAGGAGAGAGGATGGGATGCATAAATGCTTCTACAAATGTTTCTTCTCGCTCAGCTCCTGTTTAAAAACGTATCTAAGAAACAAAGGGCTCGGGTTTTTTTAGCGGCATGTGGGCTAAGAGAAGCGCAGGACGACGAGGGCCGGGAAATCGTTTCGCCTGCAGGCTTTCTTGAGTCATATAACTGCACCTCCATGCGCAGATCTCGAGGTGTGGATGCAGCAATGAATGAAGGGTCCCATCGCTTTAGGGATTCAATACGGTTGGAAAAACTGGGGTGGCGGCTAGCTACGAGCGGGCTCCCATGCAAAGCCAGGGAAAGTATTCGGGTACCCACTCGCCAACCATCTGCCAATGCACCACCTGCATTTGTGTGGGTCCTCCCAGCTCTCAGCCCCTCTCTGCCGCGGTCCCCGGCCTGTCCAGCTCCTCTCCTAGCAGTGGGCACTGCTTCCTCGCCTGCCTGTGAGATTCCTCAAGCTCAGGAAGAGTTGCCACTTACCTCTGCGTGATTACTCCGGGCCCCACATCACCCACCTCCACGTTGCACCCTCCCCGTGCCTCAGCCACAGCACTGGCCCCCCCCCCCCCCCCCCCCCCCCCAACAC